TGTGTATCTCAAAAACTCAAAAAGATACGAGGCTGTGAATTTGAAAAAGTTTGAAAATTTCCCGATTTTCTTAAAATGTCGCGATATATGAGGGCAAAGTACAACCAGAATTACATTAATTTCAATTGACGTTTTCACGAAAATAACTGCGGCAGTGTCCGACAATGCCTATCAATTTTTTAAGACGAACGTGTGTCATTTTATGAAACAAAATGTCCTTACGCAAAGTTAGTGAACGGTATCAGGGAATAAAAATGCGATGCGAGGGAAGCAAATTGAATTAAAAATCCCTGCGGCTGTGACGTGGCGAACGTTTCGGGGAATCCCAACACGAAAGACATAGCAGATGTTCAGCTGTTTCAAGAAAACTCACCTGATGGCGGACGACGCAATGAGTGAACTGACATGAACCGAATTCGAAGTCTTGCAAAGTTATGAGGCAGCGCATCGAGAAGCGCCTTTATATATAGTTCACATCGCCATTTTCACTGTAATTCAATCTACTGTACGGCGATGTATTGGGAAAAAACAAACAAACACAAAAGTCCTGTAATGAAATGCGATGGCTTACAGTTATTTCGTATATGATACACTAATTGTGTGTTCTGACTTCTGATTTAGGCTGTACATAATTACACCAAATTTCCTTTAGAAAATTACACCACGCAGGCTAAGATCACGTTAATCTGTGCAGCTGAGGGCGTTGTTTTATTGTCCTAATGAGTGCAGGGTTACTCCAGAAAATACTTAGAAGCACATTTGTCATTTTCCGAGAAGATCGTGTGGGGTCAGTGAGAATGACATTACTTGCCTCGTTGCTATGGGCACCAAGACACGTTCTGAAGCAAGACAACGCGAGGCTGATCTGATCCAGATGTAACAAACGGAAACACGCCCCGACAACCCAAGGACCTGTAGGGTTCAAAGACGTTTCCACGTTTGATACACCGGGCTCCACGTTTACTTACAGTGACCTTGAAAAATGGAACAGCCACATACTAAAATTATCCAAATCCTGTAAATGGTATTAACGGACACTCTTGAACACAGCGGGTTTTCTGGCAGGTTAGCACTGCCAAATAAATCAGAACTCGGGATTTTATCTTCCTGAAGCAGTGTGACGCTTTCTGTTCTCGGTCAATCTTCATAGCCAAACAGCCACTCGTACATCTAGCATCTAACAAGGAAATCACCCAAAAAAAGGGACACCTCTGCCCCCATCGTCAGCATTTACTGTACTCACCTATGAACAAGAAAAATATGAGCAATCCCAGTTCCCGCATGGAGGCCTTCAAAGTTCGCCCGAGGATTTGCAGCCCCTTGGAGTGTCGGGACAACTTAAATATTCGGAACACGCGCACTAACCTAATCACTCTGAGAATCGCTAGGGACATGGCCTGATTTGTGGTCTTGTCCTGCGGGCTGACGGGGGCCCGCACAATGTTCGCGCTGGTTTCCTCCTCGGCCACCACTGTCGCTAGCGTGATGAAGTACGGAATGATCGCGATGATGTCGATTATGTTCATCACGTCCCGAAAGAAGTTCAGTTTATTCGGACAAGCGAGGAATCTCACTGACAGCTCGAACGTGAACCAGATGATGCAGATTGTCTCTATGAGGAAGAACGGGTCTGTGATGTCGGGCACCTCGTCCTCCTCGATCTTGGTGCCGTTCAGGGTGGTGTTGAACACCTTGTAGTGCTTGAACTCGGGCAGCGTCTCCAGGCAGAAGATCACGATGGACAGCAGGATCACGAACACCGAGATGATGGCCACGACGCGAGCCGCCTGCGAACTCTCCGGGTACTCGAACAGCAGCCACACCTTGCGCTGGCGCTCGTTCGACGGCAGCGGCTTCTCCTCCTCCTTGATGAAACCCTCATCCTCCCTGAGGAACACAACACAACCACATTCCTGATAAGCTTGCTTCAAGGCCCGAAAAAACATCGTGCGTCGCTGTCGACTGACTCATTCCCAAGATCCCGGGTTCAAAGCTCGGCTCGGGGACCGGGTCTATTCGTGGTCTTTCTCAGAACCCGCTCGTATATTTCGGAAAGGCATTTTTTTAACCCGAGGTTCATCCGTTTCCTTACTTACGTTTTCCCAATTCGTCGACAAAAACTCACCTCAGGATATTCGCAGCTGATAAAGCGTCGTTTCATAACCCGAGAATAAATAAATAAATCTACAGTGCCAATAATAGGTAAACGCGTTCATTTGAAGCAGGCATTTTAATTTTGCGTGTTTACACGTCAAATATCGAGACTTCCGGGTCATATACAAAGGTTAGCTTTTGTATGGGATTGTATCGCAATGAAAGACATAACAATAGCCTTCACAGTTATTCCACCGTGTATCTGTTTTGTTGCATGCAGTTTTACAGAAACATGCTGCCTTAATCTTCAGCGACGACGTGAGGAGTGGCACAAACGTGATCGGCTTTTCAGAGTTTGGCCCATTTCAGGGCCACCGGAGAGGAAGGCTGGGTCAACAGAACTGTTGGTGACAGAGGAAAGAAGTGCGTCCTCGGAAGGAATGTTCCTCCGTCCTTTCAGCTCGTGAATAAGAGGCTTGCGTGGGCTGCACTTGCAGAACGAATCCTCTGCAGCGGTCTACTTCTCAAAACGGCAAAGCCTCGAAGTTGGTTTCAACGCAGTGACCACTTCCAGTGCGAAACCTTCCCACATTCGTAGTGGATGCCACGAACGCCCGACGTCTTAGGAGCCGGGCCATCGTCGATGGGCCGAAGGGGTGCTGCGAGGGTGGCTTGCCCTTCTGACGGGGACACAGAGGCTAAGTATGCTGGTAGCTACTCTGGCCGATCAGCATACAGCCACTCCCTGAGGTATATCTGCGATCAGCAGATCACTCTCCTCCGTGATGAATTGGATATATCTGGCCTTCCTCTTTGGCGACCTTGAACAGAGTATTTCCCAGATCTTGCTGGACTGGAATCCGCCTCCATCTCCCTTAGCTCTGATTGGGCAATGCTGCTGGCATGATCGCAGACCTAGTTTCTAACATCCTGACTTCAGTTGCAAGTATAGAAGCAGCATGTTCCTGCGAAACGCTGGTAAACTATCGAACGACTACACACGGAAGAAACCGTAAGACCGTTCATGTTGGCGTGCGCTCTAAAGAGATTCCACGTACAGCTGTCAAGCAAAGGAAAGAAAGGAATTGATTTTTAGATAAACTCGAGGCATATTCCATGCAGAACAAGAATTGTTACGAGTTACTATTTCCTAAACTTTACAGCAGCGTAAGAAAGGGAAAAATAGTGAATGATTTTACCTGGCTGAACTCTGGTTCAGCGACAGAGACACGCAGTCAACTTGGCACAACTCCATGACACCCGAGTCTGCCATTTAGTGACTGGAATATGACTCAGTCAAATTGATAATACGTCATTTCTAACGGACTGCCACAAATTATGTTAAATAACACCGGCCGGTAAGCCATTCCAAAACCAAGAAAGGAAACTGTTGGCATCGCACTGTAAGAAACAGGCATGCATCGTGGAAGGAAGTCTCGTCATAAGACACGTAAACTTTAAACGTTATTAATGTAGGAGGCAATAAATATACTGGGCACATTCAGATAATTTTCTAAAAGCTCAAGTAATGCAAGATACTATAATTTAATACAGGACTAGGCGGATTTGTAGTCAGCAGGAGATGCAGGTCCACAGTTCTGCTGGACGACACTTTCCGATTCAGTTAAAATAGGCTGCAACCTGGTAACCCGTATCTGACAATACAAAAACCTTTGGCGGCTGCTGAAAGGTCAAATGTAACATAGTCGGGGAAATAAAGACGCCAATTTCAAAGAAAACGTCAATGCAACACACGAGACAGTTTTCGGGTTCAGGAAAAAGCTGGTAAGAAACGGGAATTTGTATGAGATGGGCCCACCGGATTTTCCTGCAACGTTCCGAACCATCTGCCTTATGCAGGTTGCCAGATCGTGCACATCCCGATTTCCTTCTGTGAAGTAATTTTACGAACAGAGTTATTGACAACAGCCGGAGACCTCTCACCGACGCGTGCAAAAGAATCTCGCGTCGGGAGTTGCGTCTCGCGAACCACTCCCCGAGACAACGCGTAGTAGCAACGAGGTCGTACTGCAGTAAGAAACACAGACCGATGTTTTCAAGTAAGAGTGTACAACGGCTGTTGTGCGGGACTGCATTAACATAAGAAATCCAAAGGCGTTGAAAATACCGCATGCAAATCCACTATTAACAAATTAAAAAATAATTGAGGTTATCACAGCGGTGAGGACGATCGTCTTCTGGCACGCGAAGCCCTGCGGAATGAAGGTCTCACAGGAACATACTGCCTCTATCTGCAAGGCTGAAGACCGGAAGTAGCTATGGGCCCATACAGCGTCATACTCAGAACAATGTCAAAGCTTTCGGCAGCAGATACAAGCAAATGAAGTGCCCAGAAGGGTTCAAAACTGAATTATACTCGAGACGCGTCTAACAACATGGGAAATGAGGCGCCTCGCCCGTTCTTCAGGTGAATATGGGGTTGGAGTTTGCACCGTTCTTGGTTCAACCCCAAATGGACACAAAGCCCAATTGAATTATTATTTAAATAGGTGTCAGAACTTCGTACCTAAACATGAAACATCCATTAAGAATTGTAACTATCGCTTTATTTTGTGTATATGGTAATTTGGGGACGCAAAATACTTGATTGAATCTTGGGTTATTGTAACAAAAAGAAACTAACTGTATCGTCAAATGTTGAGATTGCTGTTTGTGAAATGAAACTGTCGTGGTCTGTTCAAGGTGCTACCCGGGGATTTTCCTGAATGAACTGAGGTAAAGAGCGAGATAAGTCATTCGACACGACAGGTCTCCGGATCGGGACCTTCCAAATACAAAGGCCATTCGATCTCGACGTCCGATATCTGAACTGTTTGCTTAAGACAACCCTCATCATGTCGCCCTTAACGCTCAAGAAGTCCTACCGGCGTGTCCTAAACTTGGCCAGGACCTCGCCCTCCGTCTGCCTGCCCATACACTGACCACGCATTACGCATTTATTTATCTTAGCTGCGTGACATAAATCTGCTATGTGAGCAGCAGATGTCGAAAACCTATTGGCCGATTGTTATCGCTTCCTGATCTCCATGCAGTAATTTTCCTGAGAAGGAAGGGCACGCGGGGCGAACGGTGGGGCAGGGGGACTTCGCGGATTGTGTGGATCAATACGGTCGTGAGGCGGTTGCAGCACTTCACTCACTGGACACCAGGTGGTGCGCGGGAGAGGCTCCTCCGCAACACTGATCTACCGACCATCAGATTGGTCCATGAATTCCCCCTGGATGATGCAGTTGCCTGTCACAAATTCCAAGGCCCCTTCATCGCCTTCTCAGTTTTCATAACAAGATTTGTCATTAGAGGATATCGGTACTATTAAATGAAGCTTCAAACAGCTGTTAGGTTACAATTTAAATTCAGGACTATTACAAGGCTGACGTAAATCTTCAATTATTATTTTGGACTATTTGAGAAACGTAGCGGCACAACACACGAATTCAAAGACGAATACTTCGTGTCTCTGATGACCTAGATATTTTGAAATGGACACCAGAGGTTATTTGGCAATCATCCAATCGATTACTACCACTATTATAATCTATGTCACAAGTAAGAAGCTAAATTCTAGTTCCTCACACAATTTCCGGGGTATTTCAGGGGTAACCCGTGTTACAGCAGCGATGACACTGGCCTTCAGTTCATCCACATTCATCGATAACGATGGCTGATATGACTTATGTCAAATTAAACCCAAAGGAAAAGAAATTATCGGTGACAAGTTTGGTAACCGTGGAGGCCAAGTGTTTATCCAGACAGTCACTCATTTCCGCAAGATAATGGCAAGGTGCCATATTTCTGGAAAATCCATCGTTCAATATGGACATCGCACAAAGATAAACAAATCTAGTTACGGTAAGAAAAATCCCAATATCACACACGCACAAACTCCAGTTCGCATACAATTTTTGTGGGATTCGTATAAGTTGTGTTGGGAGGGCTTCTGTTGCAACACGAGAGACATCTTCTGTGCACTTTTGTCGGTGACATGGTTTCCTCAGACCAAGCCACACTGTGTTTCGTCCGCTCTCGGGGCTTGTTTAATCGGAATGTTGACAAGACTGGAAAGCTTTAATATCACCATACATAACTCTACGGCCATATTGCAAATGGCGCTAGTCTCGATCTCACTTCACATGTTTGTTCGCCCGCCATGCTGGTATTACAGATTATAGGATATTGAAAGGCACGATTTTAGGATAGTCCTGAATGGCACAACGTCGATTCCAAATTTCATCAGCATCCGTCCAGCCGTTCTCGACTTCAATCACGTTTCAAACACTCTTTATTATGAGGGAAGTTTCGCGTTCTGATGTTGACCCGTAGACCGTGCATCCTGATTAGGTTTATCGTGGTTTCTGTGCAAATTCCGAAATAAGACCGCGACCCCTTCCTTACATATTCCTTCCAATTCATTATTCATCAAATGTTAAAAGTTTCATTCACAATGTATTTTTACTAACTCACTGCACAAAGTGCATATAATTAACGCACAAGTATAAAGTAATGTCTATTCACACACACACACACGTTTCAGCCACAAAACTAATCAACGGATTTTAACTAACTTGGTATCGTCAGTTTACAATAAAACTCGAGGTGTACGGCAATTTTTATTCTAGTTCGTCTGTGTAACATATTACAGGCTTCTGCAGTCTGACTTGACCGAACTTTATAAAAACAAGGCCTCAGCGCACAAAATTAACGCAAATAAAATAAAATGTACGCTGGAGTGAACATCTACACTACTTATATTTCAAAGATTTTTCAATAACAAATCTAAAACTTCTTGACGATGGTGAAGAGTCATTTGAATAAAAATTTTCTAGGATATCGTCTAGTAAAATATAAAACGTAAAACGACGTTTCGGAGATGGGGCTCTATCTCCGTCTTCAGGTTCCTACACAGTTGGGCCCACTAATCAAATTTTTCAATAAGGTGAATATCTGACGGAATAAAATATACGGGCGTTACAGCTATGAAGTGAGAGACCTCTGGTGTGACAAATAATCACACGTTTATACTCAGCGAACACAAAAGTGCGTAGACCAACTCTAGTTCGGAACTATCCACTCTTGTCAACGAGCGTGCAGAGCTGTGACAGCTGTCAGTTGCAGACCCAGCGCACTCTTTTTGTTCAAGTTAAGAGTCTGTTCTATTTTCACTCACAGCATGATTACCGTTTGGGGCAAAAAGTAGTAACATTACAGTCCGGTTTGCTACATCAAAGAAATTCAACGAGGCCGCCGCACTGCAACAGGATTTAATCGGTCATTTTCAAAACTACGCGAGCCCACAATTTGAAAGAACTACGATGGCATCGCTTCCCACCAGAGGTCCAAGCCTTCCTTTCAAAATTATATGGGTCCCGGTCTCGTATTATTTTACTGCTACACGAAATTGGATCACTCACCACGAAGAAACCGCTGAAATCCCCAATAAATTACGTGGGTCACCCCAGCAGCGACGAAGGACACGCGGGTCATGCGCTGCCCCTTCCATATCACACATGCACTTACAAAAGACGAGACAAAACATAAATTCCGCTTACAACTCTACTTGAAATGGGCGTTAGTGAACTATGACCGAGGAGAAAAGGAAATACTTGCCGAATATTCTCTGGGGGGAAAAAATCCAAGCGTGATGTACCCCCCCCCCCCCCCCCCCCCCAAAAATGACTACTGTGGACTCATGTGGTCTGCAAATCAGACGGAGTGATAACAGTTTTGAAACAGTGCAACGTAAAGCATTTCTTAAAAATTCAATATTCTCACTTCATAATGAAGCTCATTTCTGTTCTTCAGTATCATTTCTAGGTAAGCAAAATTAAAATTTCGAAAATTCCGAGAAAAAACCTCACTTCGACCTGCAGTTATATTGATATCTCTTTTAAGAAAGTCCGTGAAGTTCTTAGGCCAGAGGGTGCGTTTATAAACTTAATAAACATAAAATTATTGCATCTGTCAACTTAAAAATCCTCTATCGACTGTTCAGCTAAACCATAATGCGAGAAAATATTAGCTTACCATAGTGTGCAGATGATAGAGTTTGCTTTACTAGTCTATTTAACGACGCTTCA